TGCCTCATCTGCCAATAGGACAAAGTCGAGAAAGCCAAAGTCTCGGGACTCTTGGAACCTCTACCTATGCCAACAAGACCTTGGAAAGTGTGTCTCTGGACTTCATAACACACCTCCCAAAAGTCGGAGAATATGACGCCATCTTGGTTATCGTAGATCGGTTCTCGAAATATGCGACGTTTGTTCCCATTCCCAAATTATGCTCGGCTGAACTAACAGCCCAACTATTTTTCAAACACGTTGTCAAGTTATGGGGCATTCCATCGAGCATCATCAGTGATAGGGATGGTAGGTTCATTGGAACATTTTGGACCGAACTATTTGCCTTCTTGGGAATGACTTTAAACATCTCTTTGAGCTACCATCCTTAAACCGATGGACAGACGGAACGGTTTAACTGCTTGCTCGAAGAATACTTACGTCACTTCGTCAATGCTCGTCAGAAGAACTAGATACAACTGTTAGATGTGGTCCAATTCTGTTTCAATTGTCAAACGAGCTCGTCTACGGGGAAGAGCCCCTTCGAAATTGTAAGTGGACGAAAATCGGCCTTACCACATATTATTGATCATCCTTATGTAGGGAAAAACCCTCAAGCTCAAAACTTCACAAGCAAATGGAAGCAGACAACATATATAGCCCGGACATATTTAGAGAAAGCTTCCAAGCATATGAAGAAGTGGGCGGACAAGAAGCGTCACCCCCTTCAATTCCGAGCAGGAGATCAAGTCCTCATCAAGTTGAGACCAGAACAAATCAGATTTCGCAGCCGAAAGGACCAGCGACTAGTTCGAAAATATGAAGGCTCGGCTGAAGTCCTAAAAAAGATCGAGGCTACCTCCTACAGAGTTGCACTACCCACATGGATGAAAATCCACCCAGTAATTGATGTGAGCAACTTGAAGCCTTATCACCCTGACCCAGACGACGACCAGTGAAATGTAATCACAAGACTGAGCATCGATCTGAAACACAGAGACAACAAAGAAATAGAGGAGATCCTAGCCGATAGGGTTAGGAAGATAGGAAGACCCGTACGGACGATTCGTGAATTCCTTGTCAAATGGAAGAATCTCCTTACGGAGGAAAACAGCTGGGAACGCGCCGAAGATCTGGACTCCGCCGCCACCCACATCGCCAGGTTCGAAAGTAGTCGGTTGACAGGGACGTCAACCAATTAGGTGGGAGAGGATGTCACGGTCATACTTGTCCAAGGCGTGTTGCCCATGGCTGCATGCTCATGACAAGCCCAACCCTTTATGTCTTTTCATATTATAGTGTTTTACTTTTATATTTCTAGGAAGTATGACGTTTCAGAAATATCATGTCTAGGCCTGTCAGACATGAAATGCCTCAGAATGTACTATAAGGGGATACGACTAGTTGTCAACTTCTCCCTACCCAAGGTTATATACTGTAAGCCGTTGTTATTTCTCTCTTGCTTGCTTATATAACGTCTCTTTCAAAAATCTCTCTCTGCCCTTGCTTTCTAAAACCTTCTCTTAAAATCGAGGCCAAAGGCTCGAGCATACGTCGCTTGGCCGTAGGCGACGCAAGAACGAATTGGCTTAGCTCACTTATCGTTGGAAAATGAGTGCCGCACAATCGCAAGTTCGCTGCCACTAAAAGTGCGATTGTGACACATAGCATACATTCACATTCACATGATTCATACTTAAGCACATTAAACTAGCATACAATTTAATGACACGTGCAAATCCATGGGCACGTGCCAACATACAATAAATAACGCGTAACCTACGACGGGTGAGCTACTTACCTGGTTAGCTTAAGTCGTTGTCACGTATATATCCTTAATGAAAGTTCGATTCCGTCCTTTGAAATTCAAGTCAACCTATGTGAGCCCATGACACCCGTTTCAAGTTTGAACTCTATAAAATTATTTCTCTAATTTACATGGTTAAAATTTTCATATTTACCGTTAGACAAAATTTAATGGAATTTAATGGAATTTCATGGATATTTTCCTGTTTTATTTTTAAATTCTGTCAAACAAATCTTCCCTCTTCCCTCTTTCCTCTCTGTAATTATTTTCCTTCTGTAAATAGATTTTAAACATCTTCAATTCTGTAAATAAGATATTCTTCTAATTAAAAAATCTAATTAATTGAATATGAGATCTGATTATTACATTATCTAGTAAAATATGAAAGAAGATTTGATAGTAAATTGATTTCTTATAACATAACTACTAAGAAAAAAGGAAATATGAGATAGAATTTTACGGTAATAACAAACCAAAATCTCTCCTCCATCATATCCTCGTTGAAACACATTTTACTTTTTCCAAAATCTGACATTTTTCTGTTTATTTTTTTGATGAACTGTGATATGGTGGGGTTAAGGGAAGAGAATGTCATTTTAATTTTTACATTTTTTCTATTTATTTTTTTTTGGATGAATTGTGATATGGTGGGGTTGAGGAAAGAGGATGCTAGAGGTTAGTGGAGAGAGATGGGTAAATTTTATTTTTATTTTTATTTTTATTTTTAATTTTAAGTAATCCTTTTTAGTTATTTAATTATAAATTATTTTTTTTTATTATTTTGAGGTATATATTTTTTTATAATTATTTTTATTTGTTTATTTATTATTATTATTATTGTTGTTGTTGTTATTATTATTATTATTTTGGGCTATTACATTTGGTGTTAGTCGAACACCCAACGGACACTCCATGAGGTTGTATGACTGCTCGTGAAAATCACAGTCTTCTTTAGAAAGATAAAAAATGTCTCAAAATATACGATAGGGAGTCATGATCTTAACTCTCTGCCATCCCTATGGCCTAAGTGAGCTACCTTGTGTCACATACGTGTGTCACAATGTGGGTGAATGTTGTGAGACGAGCGTCTCGAGCAATTTTATATTAAATGAGTTTTTCAAGGACAGTGTGGGTTTGCAAGGGTGTACTGACATTGTGTCCCATCCCATGTATCGAAGGTAGGTATATGCACCTGCTATCCGGTACAGAGTCCATAAATGATATGGCATGGACATGGGAGAGTTCATATCCCAATAGAACCCGGATGGATGGATGTTCGAGATGTCCCACTGATATGATCGACACATGGGTCAGTTCTTGATAGACATGCCCAAGCAAGTTAAGATGTATGAGCTATCCCGAGTCATGGGATGACATCATGATGCATGAGTCGTGTTTTTGGGAACCAAAATGATGATGAGATGCAACGTTGTTTATGAGAGACCTTGACCTAAAGTAAAGGCAAGGTTGAGTTAGATGACTTTGTTGACTTTGTTGAGTAAGCCCAAATCAAAGTCATGAGAGCTTATGCTCAAAGTGGACAATATCATATCATTGTGGAGAGTCGTCAGTCCTAACATGATTTCAGAGTCATGTTCTTAACTTAGTCATGTCAATAGAATTCTCAAATGTCAAACAAAGAAGTTGCGAGCCTCGAAGATGTAGTCAAAAGTGACTCAAATTTTGAACAAAAGGTGTACTTTGTTCGAGGGCTCTAAAAAAATACTATATATATATTTATTAAATTCAGCAAATAAAAAACCATAAATTAAAATTCAAATCACCAATCAAATAAATCCTTATCATTATCATTATTAATATTCTTTTTATTTATTATTCTCTCATATATTAAATAAAAAAAAAGGATTATTAAAATGAGCATCACGTAACATTAGTCGCCGGCCGGCGCCGTCGTTTTCGCCGTGGAAGAGACTTTTCTTAGCAATCATTCATGAAGCATATTCCAAGCATCCAAACAAACACCTCCGGCCACCATTCAATTGGATAGCGACACCTCACCCACCCACCCACCCCGTCCCTTATCCAATCTTATATTATACATATTCGTTGCTTAAAAAAACTCGATCACTCCCATTCAATTCGTATGATCTGAATTGAATTACGAATTCCGTTCAAATAAATAAGAATTTTATACATCGATAAAATCTCCGTATTATGTTTACGAGAATTTAATCTAATTATACTAAATTTCTTCAAAGGGTACGTACTTAATTTATAATTTAATCCCTTACATTTTTATTTTATTTTTTAAAAAATATTTTTATTCGACTAATATTTTAAAATTTAAAATATTTTAATAATACCCTTAAATTAAAAAAAAATGAAAGGGGGCGAAACCTAACTATTTTTTATATGCATTTTTCTAGTTTTTATATGATTCAAATTTATAAATAATTAAAAACATGTTTGAAAATGACGTACTCAAACATACTCGTATTTATAAAATTAATATTTGTTTCTTTATAAAATATTTAATTGAAATCCTTAAAATTATAAAATATAAAATAATAAAATAATAATTTTATTATGAACACAAAATGCAATAAAAAAATTAAAAATTAAAAAACTATAAATAAAATATTAAAAAAAATTAAAGAATCTTTATAAAGAAGAGGAAGGTCATCCAACCACTTGCGTGCATTTGCACTCCACCTTCCTCATTTACGCTTTCATTTAATTTTTTTTTTAAATAGGAAAATAAAAACTTTACTCTTTCAAATATTTTAAAAAATTAAATTAAATTAAATTAAATTAAAAATTAATTAATTTTTTTTTTTTTAATTTCTCGTGTTCTATTTACTTTCAAAATTGCTCTCGTTTAAATCTTCCTCCCCATTTTCTCTGAGATGGTCGCTGTCTTCATCTTTTAAGAGTTTTTTTTGCGTTTTAGCCTAACTAAAGCTCCTCATCATGACGTTAACAAAATTTCTATGGTCGATGGTGTTTGAATCTACCCCACAGTTATCGTCATTGGTATCGACACTAAAGGAGAATTTGTTTGTTTCTATGTCGATCGTATAGAGTGGATATCATTCAAATTGAAATGGAAAGTGATTGGGTTATTTAAGTTTGAAATTTAATGACTAAAATTTGAAGATTCACTCATAAAGGGTAACAATGAATAATGGATTAAACGAACTCCTCTCTCAACTCTTGGTATCTGAGAACAGTATTTCAAAAATTTTGAACTGCTTTAAATTCACAAAACAACAACAATTTTCTTGGAGAACTCTCTTTTCTCTCTATCTCCATTACTCTCTCTCTGGCTCATATGGGTATTCCTCGAAAACAGTAGAGGCGAATTCTCTTGAACACATTTCGTGGGTTTGTTCGCAAATTTTTTGGGGCTTTGAAGGGTTTTCAAGAGGGTTATTGAAGGATGTTTGGGTGCGAGTGTTGGTGCTGGAATGGCGTCGTTGATCATCTAGACGTCTGCCTTTCTGACCCTAAACCCTTCTCTCTGCCTTCAACACTTCCAAATTGGCCTCCAGGTATTAGTTCTTGATTTTGATTCACTTTAGTTGTGAGGATTGTTGGTTTTTTGTGCTGGGTTCTCTGTTTTTGGTTCTTTCTTTTAACCCTTTGCTCGATCTTTCTTTTTCTTTTTTGTTTGTTGTTTGTTGTTTATTGTTTTGATCAAACTGGTGCTTGAAGTTGCTTTAATCGCTGGTGTTTTATGATGATTTCTTCGTGGTTACTCTGTTTTGAATTCTCCTTTCAACCCTTTTGTATATTGGGGAAAGTTGTTTGGATTGCTGGTTTCTTTGTAATATCTCTCGGTTGTGTTACTTTCTGGTTCTTGTGATGCTTGTAGCTATGTCAAAATTTTAGAAACAAAGCAAATGAGTACCTAATAGCAACTTCTGCACATTGGGATGATGAAATATGAATGTTGAGTGCTTTGTTCTTGCTAGATTTTGGGTATTCTTTGTTTGTTCTTTACGTGTAAACCTCTGGTGGATCGATTTCTCTGTTGTTTTGCTTTCGTTTTTGATCTTGAATTTAGATGGAGAGGAGGATTGACTCGTTCAGTAGAATTTGAATAAGAGTATATAACCTATTTTACACTAGTGAACGAGATCGTTAGTGTAACAGCCGAACCCTACCGCTAGTAGATATTGTTCACTTTGGTTCGTTACGTATTGTAGTCAACCTCACGGTTTTAAAACGCATTTGCTAGGGAGAGGTTTCCACACCCTTATAAGGAATGCTTCGTTCTCCTCTCTAACCGATGTGGGATCTCACAATCTCACCCCCCTTTGCGGCCTAGTGCCCTCGCTAGCACTCGTTCCCCTATTTAATCGACGCGGGATTTTACAGTTAGTCTTGGATGAACTAGTGAACAAGATTGTTAGTGTAACAGCCAAAGCTTACCGCTAGTAGATATTGTCCACTTTGGTTCGTTACATATCGTAGTCAGTCTCACGGTTTTAAAACGCCCTTATAAGGAATGCTTCGTTCCCCTCTCCAACTGATGTGGGATCTCACAATCTCACCCCCCTTCACGGCCTAGTACCCTCACTAGCACTCGTTCCCCTCTTTAATCAACGTGGGATCCTTCCGTTAGTCTTGGATGAATATTCTCTTTGTTTGGAGATTGTAAAGCAACGACTTCCATCCATAAAACTACGATCAAAGCCATTAGCTTGAGAATAACTCGACCCGTCAAGGTATTTGTAACCTTCTTAAAAGATGTAGGTTTGGGTCTGAATCCTTTGAACGAAAAAACTTAAGCTAGTTCGTTCGGGTGTATTTCATCTTTCGTTTATATTCTTAATACTTTCTCTCGCGTGTCGACTTGAAGTATTAACATCATTGCAAAGAGTATAGGACTGCTCGAATCCATAGTAAATTACTTCTAAACTCAAAAGCTTAGCGTTCGGTTTTAGGTTATGGTGTGTTTGATGTTCTATATATGTTCTTAATACCATCTACTTTTGCAGCTATGTGAAGCTTCTTTTTGTGAATTTGTCACTAGGAAAAGGTTTTTCCACTGGAACAATAAGCCTTGGAGAGATAGAAGTTTCCAGGATCACCAAGTTTAAAAAGGTTTGGAGATGCAGCCAGGGTGCCATATTTTACAGGCCTCAGGCAATCCCCCATGGCTTTTTCTGCCTCGGCCACTATTGCCAGCCCGATGGCCATCCATTGAGAGGCTACGTTTTGGTTGCTCGTGATGCATCGGAAGTTGCTCGTGTTGACAACTCGGTCAGTGAATCTCCTGCTTTAAAGCGACCAGTAAACTATTCGTTAATCTGGAGTTCTGGCTTACATGGAGTGGATTCTGGCTTTATTTGGCTGCCTAACGCCCCGGAGGGTTACCAAGCCATGGGATTCTTGGTCACTGACAAGCCAGACGAGCCTGCACCCGACGATATTCGATGCGTCCGAGCTGATCTTACCGAGAGATGCGAGACTAGCGACTTGATTGTATCCATTGAGTCCAAATCTCAACCGTTCCATGTCTGGGAAACAAGACCCTATGAAAGGGGAATGTACCAGAATGGTGTTTCTGTGGGCACATTCTTTTGCTGCACTTCATTGAAAAAACATCTTGAAATTTCCTGTCTGAAGAATCTCAGTGTCTCATTAGAAGGCATGCCAAATCTGAACCAAGTTCAAGCACTCATCGAGCATTACGGGCCAACCGTCTTCTTTCATCCCGACGAGGCGTATTTCCCATCATCAGTGCCGTGGTTCTTCAAAAACGGTGCTGTTTTGTATAAAAATGGCAACACGAAGGGCGAGCCTATTGACAGTAGAGGGTCCAATCTGCCTTGTGGAGGGGAAAACGACGGTGAGTATTGGATCGATCTACCATCGAACGAGAATGCACGAGAAACTTTGAAGAGTGGCAACATCGAAACCGCACGGCTCTATGTTCATGTTAAACCAGCACTTGGAGGAACGTTTACTGATATTGTGATGTGGGTTTTCTGCCCTTTTAATGGACCAGCAGCCCTCAAAGTTAAGTTTCTGAATATCAAACTTAAGAAGATAGGAGAGCATGTTAGTGATTGGGAACACTTCACTCTTAGAATCTGCAACTTTTCGGGGGAGCTATGGAAAGTGTACTTCTCGGAGCATAGCGGAGGGAAATGGGTCGATGCTTCCGACTTGGAATTCATTCATGGCAATAAACCGATCGTGTATTCGTCGAAACACGGTCATGCTAGCTTCCCACATCCTGGGAGCTATATTCAGGGATCAGTAGCTGGAATTGGAGTGAGGAATGATGTAGCTCGGAGCAAGTTTTTCGTCGATTCAAGCATCGAATATGAAATCATTGCTGCCGAATATCTCGGTGATGGCGTTGTTTCTGAACCAGCTTGGTTACAGTACATGAGAGAGTGGGGTCCAACTGTTGTGTATAATTCAAGATCAGAGATCGAAAAACTAATCGATATCCTTCCTCCGATCGTCCAATTTTCCTTGGAAGATCTACTCGCCCTGTTCCCGACCGAGCTCTACGGTGAAGAAGGACCTACCGGACCGAAGGAGAAAAACAACTGGTTTGGAGATGAAAGATGCTAGAGATATTAACAACACCACAACATGAATATAGCTATCAGTTTACTCTTTACAATAGCCATTTCTTCATCAGATCATGGTGAAAGTGAGCAGATTGACATTCTCTTTCAGTTCTTGCTGTTCTTGCTGAAGATTCGACTCGGGAGTTCGGAGAGTTCGGGTCGGAGTCAGTCTCGACACTCGGAAAAAAAAATACTGTATTACATATTTCATTGTAAAATTATTGAATTTTAGTTCTTATAGATATACAATATAATAGTGTTGAAGTATACTTACAATTTGAACATAAAATTATTATTGTAAAAAGAATGTTCGTTTGGTTGGTAGGGGTCGGAGCGTTATGGGAGCCGCCCCAAATAGAGTGAAAAATCCATATGTTAACGGAGAATGGGAACGGAAAAGGGAGAGATTTCTCCTCGTTGGCTAAAAGTGAACAGAGATAGAGATTATATTATTTTTTTTTTGTTCTCGTCTCCTCCTGCTCACTGTTTAGAAATCTAATCATTTGTATTTCCAATTTGAAATTCGATCAACTTTCCCTCTTGAAATATCTCTAAGGCTTCTCTTCGCGGTAATAATCTCTCCTATCAAATCAATGAAGTATGGTTCATTTTCAGAGATATCTATATATACGAACATATTATTAAGGTTGACCTAACGATAAATTTATTAGATCAGTCCAACGAACCTAATTTTTACAATACTAACTCGTATCCATTCTAATGAATAAAGAGGTCGAGTCGAGTTGGATTGGTCAAACTTTGACTTTATATCGATCGAGGTTAACCGGGTGGATAGGGTCTAGAAAATCTTTGGGCTTGGGGCCCATTGATGGAGACCGACTCATGGGTTAGATTGTAAAACCATAAGCCCAAACCGCCTTAATCTCTTTCATCCACTTCCCCTAGACACTCCTTAGCTACTCCCTGCTCTCATTTCCTTCTCTCCCTCGTAATTTACCAATCCCTGCACCCTTTCAAATGCTAATCCTCTTCGTTTCTTCCTCACCCATTTCCTTTTTCCGCTTCTAATTCCGGCAATTCCATCCTTATGGACGTAATCTTTGCTTCACTCCCATTACCCAATAAACCCCTTTCTCAATTCCCAGCCCCACATTGTCTCCAACCCTCTACACCCATAAGAGCCAGGTGCCGGACTAGCACCCGCAGATGGAACTTCATTTTCACGAGAAAGTGCGTTAATTCCATCTCAAATGGGAACCGGGTACAATTACTTGGCATTCCAAGAGTGCCCAGAAGCTCGAACGCTTTACAAGAAGCTGAAGAATCGATTTTGGAGGACCTTAGTATCTCAAATTTTGTTAGTTTGCCTGTACATGATAAGAAGAATGATGGGTTTATGCTCAATTGCATTGCTAAGCCAATTGTGTATACATTATTCTGTATTGCTGTTGGATTTTTTCCTTTTAGGACAGTTAAAGCTCCCGCAATTGCAGCTCAGGCAATTGGGGAGGCGGTTTTGAGTCAGAAAACTCATGGGAAGGAGGATGGATCGAATTTGAGGGGTCATAAGTACTCGGACTGCACGAGGCAGTTGCTCGAGACGGTGTCGGGTGTATTGAGGAGTATAGAAGAGACTAGAAAGGGTAATTCTAGTGTAGCAAAGGTGGAGGAGGCATTGAAGGCTGTGAAGTTGAAGAAAGAGGAATTGGTAAATGGGATTATGAGTGAGCTTCGTACACAAGTAAGGGAACTAAAGAGGGAGGAGAGGGATTTGGAAAAGAGATTGGAGAGGGTTGTTGATGAAGTGGTGAAAGCTAAGGGGGAGTATGAGAGGTTGGTGGCTGAGGGGGTTAGTGTCGGGGAGGAGGCGAGGAAGAGGATGGACTGGTTGGAGCAGATATTGAGAAGGTTGGAGGTTGAGTATAATGAGAAATGGGAGAAAGTAGGAGAGATCGAGGAAAGTATTTTGAGGGAAGAGACCGTTGCGCTCAGTTTTGGGGTGAGGGAGCTAGGCTTCATCGAGCGGGAATGCAACGAACTGGTGAACGGGTTTTCGCGGGAAATGAGGGCCAGAGAGAAGGGTACTGATAGGTACAAGCACAACCTTAACTTAATGCCATTGTTGTCCCTTTAATGCTTTCAAAGAACTCATGTGTTGAATGTGTGTTGTAATTTGTACCGGTTACTTGATATTCTGATCTCTTAAACAAAAACATGTCATGGACCTTTAATTTTTTCTGTATATTTTCAGCTTTCTAATAGCTCCTAAGACTTTTAGAAGAACGTATGTTTGAGAAGAAAGACGATATCATCTCTAAAGTTCGATTTTTTTTTTTATAAGACGATGAATTTTCTTGGTTCGATTCATGGTGAATCTAGAGGAATAGAATAAGGCCTGAGATTCTTTCATTTGTGGAGGGCTAGGGAACCTAAAGGCGCTTAATGAGCTTAAGTGGCTGTGGCATTTTCCTCGAAAGTCGATACTTTATGGCATAAGATTATTGTGAGTAATAACAGGTCCCATCCCTTTGAGTAGCTTTCGAAGGGGATCTCGAGAGGTATTGCCATATATTCGTGGAAAGCTGTTGCTAATGGGTTCCCTTTTTTATCTTAGTGTTTATTCATTTTTCTGGTGGCATTGGGAGGCTTTTGTCTTTTGAACCCTAATCCTTCTAAAGAGTTTTCGTGTAGCCCTTTCCTTTAGTATCGGGCAAGCTCCTCATCTTTGAGCCCCTCATCTTCTTCTCACTTTGGAAGATCAAAATTTCAAAGAAGGTTAAATTTTTTATTTGGAAGTTCCTCCATGACACTTGGCCGAGTTCATAACTTGGATTGTGTTTCGTGGACTTCGACCAATTTGATAGTGCCCAAGTGTTGTATCCTTCTCTGAGGTCTGAGGATTTGAATTATCTCCTTTTGTCTTGTGAGTTTACGAGGTAGTGTGTGTAGCTTTTTTTTAGACATTCAACTTTAGCTAGGCCCGACCCAGAGGGTATAGCTTTCACGGTAGAGGAGCTTCTTCTTCATCCCTCTTTCATGAAAATAGCTGCCTTTTGTGGTTGGCTAGCTTTTGTGCTATTTTATGGGGTCTTTGGGGGAGAAAGAAACAATAACATTTTAGAGGGCTTGGAGAGATGTGTGGCCCTTGTTAGATTTCACACTTCTTGTTCGGCCTCCACGAATAAATACTTTTTGTAATTGTCCTTTAGGTCTCCTTCTATTCTTTCACATGATCTTGATGAACATTTGGTTTATTACAAAAAAAAAAGAAAAAGTATCAATACAGCTGGTTTTGAGTGGAATCCTGTTTCATTATCATTTCAGCTTAGGATTCTTGATTGGATTAAAGCTCAATTAGAAAAGAATCAGAAGATCATGAGACTTTTTGTGAATTGAAGGAGGGTGGTGGGTCTCATTTAGTACATTGAAATGTTGTATTCAAAGCTATAGAGGAGGGTGCTAGGAATCATGACTCTCCACAATGGTATGATATTGTCCACTTTGAGCATAACCTCTCATGACTTTGTTTTGGGCTTCCCCAAAGGGCCTCATACCAATGGAGATGATCATTCCCTAAATTAGCCAATGTGGGACTCCCTCCCAACAATCCTCAACAATTCTCCCCTCAAACAAAGTACACCATAGAAGGCCTATGGAGCCCTCGAACAACCTCCCCTTAATCGAGGCTCGACTCTTTCTCTAGAGCCCTCGAACAAAGTAAACCCTTTGTTCGACACTTTAGTCACTTTTGATTACACCTTTGAGGCTCACAATTTTTTGTTCGACATTTGAGGAGCCCTCGAACAACCTCCCCTTAATTGAAGGCTCGACTCTTTCTCTAGAGCACTCGAACAAAGTACACCCTTTGTTCAACACTTTAGTCACTTTTGACTACACTTTCGAGGCTCACAATTCTTTGTTTGACATTTGAGGATTCTATTGACATGGCTAAGTTTAGGGCATGACTCTAATAGCATGTTAGGAATCACGGCTCTCCACGGTGGTATGGTATTGTCCACTTTGAGCATAAACTCTCATGACTTTGCTTTGGGCTTCCCCAAAATGCTTCATACCAATGGAGATGTATTCCTTACTGATAAACCCATGATCGTTCCCTAAATTAGTCAATGGGGGACTCCCTCCCAACAATCCTCAACAGAGGGTGGTCTAGGGATAGGAAATTTGGCATCCAAAATTTAACCCTTCGCCATTGCAAAATTTTAGGAAAAAATTTCACAGGAAATTTATTGTTTTTGAATTCGCAATGAAAATTTCACAGGAAATTTATTGTTTTTGAATTCACAATGCTCCTTCTCGTTGTAAATGATTTATATAGCCATATGTTACTGCATGTACCATTAAAATTCTCCATGATTTTTTGCCATCTAACATGCTCTATTTATATGATAATATGTGTTCTTTTCTCGTTGATCCTTGTCACATGATTTGATTTTTTTTTTTTTTTTGAAGTTTAGGATGCTTATGTTTCCCCTTGATGTAACTCTTTGAAAATAAAAATAAAAGAGTTCAAATTTATTATCAGTTTTCGCTTCTTCATTGCAGAGCGCCAGAGCAATCTCTGACAAAGCTGTCTAAAGATTATATTCAAAAAGATTTGGAAAATATGCAAAGAAAAACGTTGGAGCAAAATATTCTTCCAGCTGTCGTGGAAGGAGTCAGTCTTGGAAATTTTTTAGATCAAGAAGCAGTTGATTTTGCTCGTCGTATAAGTCAAGGTCTTAAAGATTCTAGGGTGCTGCAGAAGAACATGGAGGCTCATGCGAGAAAGAAAATGAAGAAGTTTGGTGATGAAAAACGTTATGTTGTTAACACCCCAGAGGGTGAGGTTGTGAAGGGTTTTCCAGAAGTTGAAATGAAGTGGATGTTTGGTGATAAGGAAGTTGTGGTTCCTAAAGCTATTAGTCTCCAGTTATTCCATGGCTGGAAGAAGTGGCGTGAAGAAGCTAAGGCAGATTTGAAAAGAAACCTATTAGAAAATGAGGAATTTGGTAAAAAATATGTGGCCCAGAGACAGGTACTGTTAAATCATATACTTAATCGACGTACTTCGGATCTTTGTATTTCATAACAGAACTTTATGTTGTCATTTTTTCGGTAAATATTTTATTCAAACTTAGCTACCCTTAACATTTATGGTAAACTCTATTACCCCTGCAAGTAAGCAACTATACTCTAATTGCAGGAACGTATTCTTCTAGACCGAGATAGAGTTGTAGCCAATACTTGGTACAACGAAGAAAAGGAACGGTGGGAAATTGATCCGGTGGCTGTTCCCTATGCCGTGACC